TTTGGGAAGAGAGACGTCATTTTCGCAGATGTTCTTAATGAAAACCAAGTTGTTGACTAGAAAACACCAACTTTGAGATTATAAGACTGTACAAATAGCATCATCTCTCCTTATGTTTCTTTTCTCTCTAATTTCTCAAGTTAAAGCTTAAAAAATAAGTCTTTTTGACATAAATGCAGGCCTCAGGCCCAGACGTTCCACACCACCCTTCACCCCAACGGTCCTGGGGAGCTCCAGGCGGGGACCCTTCCCCTCGGTCCTGGGGAGCTCCAGGTGGGGACCCTTCCCCCCACCCCGGTCCTGGGGAGCTCCAGGCGGGGACCCTCCCCCCCGGTCCCGGGGAGCTGTCTGGTCCAGGGTGGGCCTTCAGCTCGGAGCATCCCCCCGACATCGGGCTCCAGTCCTCACTGAGCCCCTGAATCTCAGGATGTGGGGCTTCTCACAGGGCTTCCCAGATGCCCAGCTGACCGCCGTGCCCAGGCCCAGCTAAGGCTGGGACCCTGCAGGGAGAGACCACCCTGCAGGGAGAGACCCTGGGCCTGCCCTGTCCACCCTCCCTAAGTAGACAGTCAGTCCCCGTGCAGCTGTGGGCTGGGCAGTTTGGGTGTCGGGATGCTGTGGTTAATGGGTTCCTCTGGGGTCCCCAAAAGCTCCCCAGGCTGCCGGCCCACTCACGCCCCCAGGCTTCTCCCTGACACCCTCCTTCCCTTGGGGCCTTTCTGAAGGTTCTGGAGTCCGGGGGCTTCAGTTACCTTAAGAAGCGTGGCCAGGCCTTAAAAGGACAGTCCGGGTGTGAGTTGTTGGTGAGGACACGTGATTTCTCTGGGGGTGGGGGTGGGGGGAGGGGAGGGGCTGCACTTGGGAGTCCCGTGTGGGGTGCACCCCATGTGAGCAGATGGGGAAACTGAGTCTGGAAGAAGTGAGGAACCCTCCAAGGCCACGTGGCCATCCACCCTGGGCTGCTCAGGCCAGGGCAACGGGCTGCAGGTCACCCGTGAGGGCCGGGCTCTGGCACAGACATCCAGCTGGGGTCCTGTGCTTCTGGAAGAGCGTGC